GACGCCTCTCAGGTCCCAAATGCCATAGTGTCATAGAAAGATTGCACTGACAAGCTGGCCTCCGACTGTAAAGTTTCGAAGACATCGAACCCTAAGAACCCGAGAGTGACTGTTGCTTCAGAAAAGTAGTGGAGTTGGAGTAGTTGGACACAGAGCCCTCGTCTGGCGGAGTCCGAGTCCACCTAAGGGATCCCTTTAAAGGAACCCCTCTAGGACTCCCCTTTAAGGGAGTCCCTCTATATCGGAGATCCTTTAAAGAAACCCTTCTAGGACTCCCCTTTAAGGGAGTCCCTCTATATCGGAGATCCTTTAAAGGAACCCTTCTAGGACTCCCCTTTAAGGGAGTCCTTCTATATCTGACATCCCAGGATCTGAGCACCACGAAATGCAAGCCCGCGCTTACGGAGCCGGAGGCTTCGGCCTACTGGAGCTTTGGTCGCAGAGATCGACGACAGGAATTTTGTGTATGATATGTGTATATACATATGTGTTATAAATAAACACATATTAGCAGTGATCGCAGTCTAAGTTTGTATTGCAGTATACTGCCGTATCTTCTCACTACTATCGAGTTCTATCTCAGGATAAGGTAGACCAAAGAGGTTTTGAGGTCTTGGATTGACATTGAGGGTAGGGGTCTAGGCTTCACCTGAGGCCTGCATGGGACGCCATGCTGTAAACTGCGGTAAACCGTAAACCCTAAACCCTGTTTAGGTTTAGGACTAAAGCCAGCGTGACCCACTGTAGGTCTAGGGCTGGCAGCTCAGCAGTTGTCTCCCAGCGTTAGACTAGAGTTGGGTCTGAGAACGGCTTGTAGGGGCCGTCATAACGCAAGTATCTTCGAATCATTAATCCTGCGGGACCCTCCGCTACATTAGAATTCCATGGAGACTTCAAGAGGAGACATTGTGAATTGGCGGTGCTTGGAAGAGGTATGTTCAAGCGCTTGCAAAGCTTTGCTCATCATGTCTTTGGCTTGTTGATACACGCTGCGGTTCATTCCAGCTCGGTCCCAGACCCATTGACAGCCTGTGGAATCGAGTCTTAGTCGGACTTGGGGTTCCTTGCTGCGCTTTCCCGGCCCCCCCGGCCCCTGTGGTCGAACCCTCTGGAACCCGTTGCAGTCAATACTTGGCATTCGTTGCAGCACAATCTTGCTTCAAGCTTGCGAGATGGCTAGGTATAGGCATTGCCTTCTTGTCCGACTCAAAGTTTTCACTACAACACGCAAGCTGGCCACCGTGATGCCCCGAATCTGTTCCAACACCAGCGGCTTGACAGTCCCCAAGCCCCAACCCCTCCCCCCCCTGGCCTCTAAACCCTAGCCGATTCAAGGACCATCTTCAGTGTGCTTCAGCAGTCCATCTTCGGAGATCCGGGTGACGCCATGGACATCCGAAGCTTCGACTGAGAGCTCTCGGGGCCGGAGGTTCGGAGGTCCTGGGGCTTTCTGGCCCTCTGTTGAGGGTGCCTCCTGAGATCGGGGAATCCTTATCTAGAACATTAGTTTCCTGCAGATGCATTTGATAATAATTAGATAGTTGTTGATAGTAAATGTTAATTAGTGATAATTATTGTTCATTGTTTCGTTATTAATAACTGATTGTTTGGCTCAGGGTTGAGACTCAGGTCTACCTGTTGGTTCGAGGTTGTGGCATCAGAAGGAACGGACCTCGCAAGACTGCGACGTGATGTGGATTTTGGCTGGCTGGTCTAGAGTCTAGTGATCAAAACCCTTAATTCCCTAAGCCCTAAAAACCCTATTAAAGCCCCAAAATACCTAAAACCCTAGACCCCATAAACCCGAAAAGCCCTAAAACGCCCTAAAAGCCCTAAAGCCCTCAACCCCGAAAGAAGTTGGGGACTCAGGTCCGGGAGTTCTTGCAGTCTTGGGTTGTCGATGCCTGGGCACGAAGGGCCGGGGAGAGGTAGGCTCCTTTGGTTGTTGAAGCCCCCGAGTTGTTTAGGGTTTGGAGTTTAGGGCTTAAGGTTTAGGGTTTAGAGTTTTAGGGTTTAGGGTTCAGAGTTTGGGGTTTCGGGCTTCGGCTAGCACCTAGGCTTTCTAGTTGGGTGCACTTCTTGCAGCACGTGCATCAGAAGAACCCGTTTAGCCACACACATGCAGCAAGCTTGAAGCTTCCAACCCCGAACTTTCAGCATCGTTCCTTGTTGCCTAGGCTGAGAGGACGGTTCGCATGCCGTACATTCCTTTAGGCAGGCTAAGGCTAAGGGATTATGATTGGGGCTCTGAGATGCTCTGAGCGCTTCGAAACTGGATGGAAGGTCCGGCACCTAGTATCATTTTATATTACATTGCTTTAGAAAAAAAATATATATATATCTATCTATCTATCTATCTATCTATCTATCAGGCCATATTATAGTATATTCTGCTTCAGGGCCTCATTGCTCGATGCCTTTGGCCTCCGACTGCCAGGGCTCAGGCTTCAGGCTCTCCTCCTGAAGCTTACCGGTTTAGGGTCAAAAGGCTTTCGTAGGGTCATCTTAGGGCCTTAGGGTTCGGGGTTGAGAGGGTTTCCGGAATGTGCAGAAGATGGTTTCTTACACAAGTTCAAGTCACAAAGCCCTACTCCTCTCTCTGCTCGGTATGGGCCCCTGGCTCAGCAAGGATTCATCGGCCTCCTTCTGAGCTGTCAGATCTTTAGAGATTCGGCTGCCTCGAAGAGGGAGGGGTTTAGGGTTGAGGGAGTGGTCCGAGATTTCGGAATGGGGATTTGATGATCAGCAGTGTAGCCAAGGAAACTAACAGGAAGAGAGGTGTATGCGGCGCTATGCCTCCTTCAAGTGTGGTTTCAGAGCTTCGCGCAGGGAAGTTTCCCCCGGTGACCTTTTCGGATTTCGGTGGGCTTCGGGCGGTCCTCATTGACAGCTCGCCACGACACCATGATGCCGCCCGCAGATGCCTAAGCTAGAGCTACACGGGAAAATCACGAGGCCATCCACCTACCTGGCGTCCCTTCAGAGGTGTCGCTTGTCCCCCTACAGCTTGCCCCATAAGATGTCATACCAGGCACCAACCGTGCCAAGACCGATGCCAGCAAAAGTGAGGCCCGGCCGCCGGGTGCTCTCACTTCTTATTTAAAGCTGCACTATGTGGTTGCAGCACCGGCTTCGTTTCGCGAGTTTTCAGTATGTTCGGAGTTGCTGCTCAGTGTCGCAAGGATGCGAGTGTTTTTCAAGTTCAGGCGCCTTGGGCTTGGGGTTTACACGGGGCAGACGCACTGCGTGATCAAGTGTTCGTTTGTGGTCTTCCCTCTCGGTGTTTTTCACAGGCGGTCGCCGAGGTTGATTCACATTATACGAGGCGAGGGAGCATGCTGCGAAGGAAATTGGCTCATCATGGTTCATCTAGCAGCCTTGTGATCTTAGAACTGGAATTGGAAGCCTTGTTAGGGATTGCGCCTGTTTCAGCCTGGGCCCAACATTCGCACTCAAAGTCGCCAGGCTTGTCGGCTAGGGCGGTTCTTTGCCTGCAGGGACATGCTGTTTTCAGCAAGCCCACAGCTTTGTCATTGGTTGTACGCATTTTAGATGATACCCAAAGTTGCACAAATCTGAAAGAATTGTTCAAACATGCGGTGACTATTCGGTCGTACACCGAATGATGCATTCAAAGTTCCGGATGTGTTGCGTGGATTCGTGATTGACTTGTTTCGGAGAGCAGTCTCAGGCTTCAGGAGTCGGTCTTCAGTTTCAACCCCCAAAACCCCCAAGTAGACCCTAGTAAACCCTGATTACCGTAATTATACTAATACCCTAATTATGGTTAATTGTTATTCAGCCTCAAAAAGGTGTGGAACGAGCGGGCGCCGGGGCACCTTTCTCCGCGATCGTCTCCGAGAGGTTCGCAGAAGCCGCCCCTTGGGCCAGAAGAAGGGCAGGGTTTCGGGTTTAGGGTTCATAGGGATTAAGAAGACTAGTGTGCGAGTTTCATAGAGCTCCAGAAGGTTTGAATCGGGTCTATAGTAGGGGTTGTTGGGGCTGTTATTGTTGATTTAGGGCTGGAGGCTTTAGCTGTAGGGCTTTAGGATTTGAGGTGTGGCGTCTTGTGTTACAAGGGCATGTGCACTGCAGCCCTCCAACAGCGGTGTTTATGTTTAGCTGCAGTACAGCAAATTTCAATGATCTTGATGTTCTTGAGGGTTGGAGGTTGATCAGGGAGGCCCCGTAGGGTTTGGATCTGTGTCGGGGCTCAGCTCACGCCTTTTCCGGGCTCACTGATACATGGGTGAGTTTAGAGTGACAAGAGCTTCGGATTAAAAGGACGGTGCGGGATCGTTCCGAGGAGATCGCCAGTTATAAAGCTCTACTGCAGCTGCCGGAAGCGTTTCGCTAGACGTCTTAGAAATTGGACTAGCGAACCTTGGGACCTAAGTTTTCAACAATATTGCTGTCATTGAGGTAGGTGTGTTTTGGTTTCGCAGGGGGTGTACTGCAAAAAACCGTCATTGCAGTTCTGTTCGAGTTGCAAGTCATGTAAGCCTACCAGTACACTACATCTGCAAAGGCCTATGCTAATCCACAGTCCCTATTCAAACCTTAGAATGAACTCTAAACCCTGGGGGAGGCAGCACCCGATGTTGAATGGATTTCGGTGAGGGGCCGTGCGTCGGACAAGCACGAAGCAGAGAGCATGCCCAATATTCAATTAGAAGAGGGTTGCGGCATATTACAGCAGAACTTTATCAGCAATCCCTGGCCTAGGTTCCCGGAGAGACTTCACTGTCACAAACCCTGCAGAGGGCATCGTTCCTTTGCTCATCGTAGGATTCCGTGAGCAACCCAAACCCTAAATACTAAGTAAGCCCTCTGTTCTGAACCTACACCCTGCAATGCGGGCTCGTCCTTGCTACGTGGGGAAAAAGTAAGGAGTGAGAGTCGAAATACTAAATAAACACTAAACCCTAAACGGGTCCGTATTCTTGGAAGTTGTGGAATCACTGGGCCCAGAGTCCACCGAGCAAGCCCACATAAGGTCCATGATGCACGCTCCGTCTTTGGGACGGGGTGCCGATTTCACTCAGTTGCTGCTGACTCCCAGTTGCAAGACCGCCCGTCTGAGCTATTCAGGATTTCCAAAGATTGGGCCGTTGAGCTCAGGGTCGTACAGAATTTGAAAATCTGGTCTTTACCGTCTTCGTTCGTTTGTTCCAAGGGCTCCGCCAAACATCCTTCTTTGCAGGTTGAAAGGAGTGTTCGTGAGTTCAGAGCCGCGTGATGACTCCAAGGAGCTTCGTGAAAACCCACCTGGGCCTGTGGATGCAGATTGCGAGCTTATCCCTCCAGTCCGAGCCCACCAACATCAGCGTGCCCTTGATGCAGTGTTGCCGGGGCAGCGCCCTTCAAACTCTTCGGCCCCCTGCACGAAGGGTGATCTGACATGTAGACTCAGAGCCCAGTAGTTCTATCCTCCCGACAAGGAGGATCACGTCTGTATTCTCCTCGTCCTCGAGATTTTGTCCCGGGCAAACAGAACAAAGGGCGATTTGTTGGATAGATCTTGTCCTGGAGAGAGAGAGAAAGAGAGAGAGAGAGAGAGAGAGAAAGAGAGAGAGAGAGAGAGAGAGAGAGAGCGAGAGAGAGCTGCCAAGGGATCTCTTGCAGGTTCAGCCCCTCTTGACATGCCATCGGCATCTAAACCTGCAGCCAGACCTTCGCGTGCTTGCCGCTGCCGGGAGTGTTAGGAAATGTCAAGTGTTGAGCACGGGGCGTTCATGAGCATTCCTCGTCATGAGCTCGAAACGCAAGATCTGAGGTGTAATGATTATTGGGGGTTATTACTGTTATTATTATGATGAGTACTATTGCTAGCGCCATTTTCGTTAGGATTATGATTGCCAGGTGGAAGACTTTGACATCCTTGGCCTGATCCTCTGCTGTGGTAGCTCAAAGTCCCAGCCGTTGCCGCCTGGCTTCACGAGGGACACGGGTGTAGGGTAAAGGCTTTATAGGCTTTTAGAGGAATCCGCATTCTGGTATCCACTGGGAGGGGCTTTGAGCAGTTGTGGCCATACTGATGCTGGATTGGACTGCTTACAACCAGCCATGACAGCCTTCAATTTCCTACACCGCAAATCTCATTCTGCATGCTTTGCTGGGTGCCTTTGCTTGCTGATTTTCGCATGCCATCTTAGCACGATTCCTTGGGACTGACCTGCTCTTGAATCCGTGCCTGCCCAGTGCGAGTGTGCGAGTCGGAAACCGCCTACCCTAAACCCCCAGGCTCCTTTGTCCCCGTCACAAGACCTCGAAGCACACATGGCCTCGCGCTTGGATTCTCGCGAGCCAGGTTCCGTCTCTCCGAGGCTGTGCCAGAGCTCGCTTCCAGGCCCGTGGAATGTGGGAAGCTGTTCGGGGGGTCTGTGCCCAACTTACGGCTGAGAGTGATTCGGGGGTGTATGTTTCAAGCTAGTTCTATAGATTTAGGGGGTAAGGGGGCTCTCTTCCTCTCTCAGCTCCTGCTTATGTAAGGAGCGCACGGTCACCAGGCACATGAGAATTGTCAGATCTCCTAGAGTTTTATGATCGGCCTATCTATGTCTTATTTACAAGTTTAGGCTTTTGGTTTAAGGCCAGGACGACCTGTCGACGTGGACTTTTGCCTAGGGCCTGTCCACATCTGAGCCCTCTTTCCCAGAGCTGTAACTGTAATGCAACAAAAGCTTTGCACCGAGAACGGAGGTGCAGGTTTTCGGGCATCAAGGTCCTTTTCGGGCCCTACCGCGAAATGGGAGTTTCCGAAAGTAACCCTAAGCTCTGCACCCAGTAGTTCCCTAAAATTCCTGAACCCCTAAGCTTCTGAGCACCCCCTTTCTAAGCCTTTTAAGCTCGAAGTACATCAAGCCCGAAAGCACTACTGGAAACCCCTCACATCCTAAACCTTAAAGCCATAGGCCTGCCTGGTGCGAGTGTGAGAGTCGAAAGCCTATGGCCCAAACAGGCCTTCCATGTCAGCTTCCGAGTTGCGGAAAGCCTTGCATCCACGACGCACTTCAACAAGTTTGTATAGGTTGTGGTTTGTCCTGATCGTTTTAGGTGTGTATGAGGGTTATGAGGGTATAGATAGGAGTTTATATAGGCATCAATTTTGTAGGGTGTTGGAAGGGTCTAGTCAAGGTCTTTGGCCATGGGCTTTGTGTTTTTGTTTATCGTTTTGTGACATGGTTTCTGTAGATGTAGTTGGGGGCGCGTAAACACCTAAGGGGACGCCACCAACTCCAAACCACGAATACCCTACAGTAGACTCTTTCAGTTGAAGCCTATTCTCCAATTAGATGCAATATGTGTATATATATATGTAACTTAACTATGTATATATATATATAGACAAACCGAAAGAGCACGCATGCAACAGCCATTCAAACATTCCCCCCTCCCCTGCCCCAGAACAGCACATGTTCCGGTGTCCTGGTATAGCCCCCCAAACCCTAAACCCCCTATATGAATCGCGCGAGTCAGTCATTGACAATCACAGGCTCAAGCTCCTCTGCTGGAACGAAGACGCCTATACCACCGAGGCCGCAGCGTTTGATTTTATGTCAGGGTTTAGGGTTTAGGGGTCTAACCCTGAAGGTGTTTGATGATGGCGGTTCATGGTGGTGGCGAGCATCGTTGTTGTACCCGTCGTGACGGGCAACACTGCCTTTTTCCCTATGGTCGCCACTGTTATTCTTATTCTGCTTAAATGCTGGTTATGGTTATTGTTGCTACTTGTAGTTCGGATGGCGAAGTCAACTGGGTGCTCCTGTTCTGGTTACGATTGCGTCATGCCCTACCCTTACAGAGCGCTTTTAAAGAACCCTTCTGAAGCCCGCAATGTAGTCTAGTGGTGAAAGGGCTCGATGGGAGCCTTGTCTATGTCTATTATGAGACCATTTCAGACGCCCCAGAGGTGGCCAAAGATGGCTTGGAGCCCCGCGCCAAGACCTTGAACATCAGTGACCTGGCTTGTCCGGGTCGGCATGGTGCGATTAGGGCTCCCTCAAAGACCGCAGGGCTCATAAGGGGTGCCTGAAAAGCTCGAGAGAGGTATTTAATGAGGGTTCTGGGCTTCTGGATGTTCCTTAGGAGTCATGTTTCGACATGTTACCTTTTCCTGGGAGGGGCTTATAGAAGGTGCGCTTTTGGAAGGTCGTGGGTTCAGGAGGTGGAGGTTCATGTGTGCTGGGGTTTAGCAAGGTGTAATCGGTTCAGGAGTGTATTATGGGGGTTTAGGAAATGTCGGCTTCATTGGGTCTTGGGGCTTGGCATGGTCAAGGTTTGCGAGTTATTGGCAGATTTCCCTGCCAACTTAGGGCATTGGCATTCGTTGTAATCAGTACAAGCCAGAAGATGTACATTCTCTCCGAGCACAACATAACACAAGCTTTCATAATAAATGTTCTGACTTGCAACACACCGCGGAGGTGTGAAGTCGTAGGTAACTCCTATGCTAGAGGGTTGCAGTTGCTGAAAGTCTGGTTCGAATCGCAAGCTGCTGCATCGCACAATCCCAGAGGCTCCAAACCAATCAATCGCTCAGGCAACATCCACAAGAGTATTTGGTTTCACCGGCCACACAACGCCGAGTGCCCTGACTTCCAGTAAGTGTTGTTCATGGTGAGCTTCATTCACAGACAATATCTGTGGCTGTCGACTGCTGCCAAACACCATCCGAACAGGAACCCGACATCTCTAATTTGCCATTGATCATTTTCTGCATAATGATGCTTGTGGAGTGTAGTAGCGGTGGATGTTGACGGCGTGATGGTGGATGTTGACATCGTGGAGGTTGTCGTCGGTTTTCAGCAAGCAGCAGACAGCATGTCGTAATCGTTCTGTGCAGGGAATGGTGCCAGCGGACGTTGTAGTGGCAGCATCTGCAGTCGTACCAGTCGGACAACCATCAGCCTTACCATCTCGTAGCGATAGTGCTATTGGTAGCCGCGTTAGTCGAAGTATCTGTAGTAGTTGTCGTAGTCGTGGTGGTCGAGGTCGCAGTTGCAGTCGTGGTCGTCGTCGTCATAGCACCAGCAGAAAGACTACTAGTAGTCGTCATCGTACTGGTAGTAGTCGTCGTCGTGGTTGTAGTCATAGCACTGGTAGTCGTAGCCATAGTCGCAGTAGTAGAAGTAGTCGTCGTCGTATTCGTAGTCGTAGTCGTAGTCGTAGCAGTAGAAGTAGTAGTAGTAGTTGTTGTTGTAGTAGTAGTAGTACTACTACTACTACTACCAGTACTAGTACTAGTACTAGTACTAGCACTAGTACCAGTACCGGTAGTACCGGTAGTGGCAGTAGTAGCAGTAGTAGTAGCAGCAGTAGTAGTAGTCGTCGTCGTGGTGGTGCTGGTGCTGGTGCTGGTGCTGGTGCTGGTGCTGCTGCTGCTGGTGGTGGTGGCGGCGGGTGGTGGTGCTGGTTTTGGTGGTTTTGGTGGTTTGGTGGTTGTGGTGGTTGTGGTGGTGTTGGTGTTGGTGTTGGCATCGTCGTCGTCGCCGTCGTCGTTGTGGTGGTTGTAGTTTTAGTTTTTGTGTTTTGGGTTGTGCTTGGCGGTTGGTGGTTGGGGTTGGTGGGTTGGCGGTCGGATGGTTGTGGTTGTTGGTTAGTTGTTGTTTGCTCTTGCTGCTGCTGCTGCTGTTGTTGCTGGTGGTGGTTGTAGGTTGTGGCTTGTGGGTTGCGGGTTGTGGTTGATGTTGTTGCTGTTGTCGTCATCGGCAGGTGCCGTAGCAGCAGAAACCACATTATGACAGAACGACGCGAGCACAATACCCAAGATATATTCCCCAGACTGATACGTAGTCGTTGGTCTTGCTTCGGACATCAAAAGCGATCTGACATCGGTTGCTGCACCAAGAAAGAGCAGCAGCCATCCTCTGTCATGGTTGTCGCAACATCAAACCCAGAAGAGCGCTTAGAGCCGTCGTGCATAGGCTGAGAAGACTTGAAGAAGCTGTACTCTCTGCATCTGGTACTGAGGATCGAGTATCTGAACATCACCGACTGCAAAGACAGCACCATCTATGTTACAGCGCGGCTACGCTACTGCCTCATCTCTGGTTGCGAGGGGACCACGCTGCGTCTTGGTGCAGTTGGCCTGAGAAAGCTTAAATCGCACCAAGCCTCGATAATCAACCCCCCTAGCCTGAGGGCTGAGTCTTCAAACATTATTCACTATTCACCCTACGCTTATTGAACAGACTGAATAGACCCTATGCAGCACTGTGGGAGCTTCGGGAACCGTAGCAGTCGGGATTTTCATGAGGAGCTTGTGATGTAGGTTTGAGCTATATGCTTTTGGGGCGCCAGTTGAAGGTCTCGAGAGCTCAGGACTGTGGCAAGATGTGCTGAATTAAAGTTTCACTTATCAAGTTATGCCTGTTTAGAGTGTAGTACGTCACACCATGCTGTTAACCTTGAGAGCTTCAAGGCTTGTTTGCTGTGGAGCCAAGAGCGCAAGACATCAGGTAATCTTTGGTCTGTTGCCAGAAGCACATTGCATCTTGAATGATACAGCATATGCTTAATTGTCATAAGACCGTCTGTTTCTGTAGCTTCCTGCCTCGAACTGGAGGCATCGTGACCTGGGTATCGGCATCTCAGCCAAGGATCTTAGGCGGTGTTTCCACCATCTGCACCACTAGCAACTGCGAGAAGGTCAATGCACCTGGGCATGAAGCACAGTGCTTGACTGTTCCTTGGAACTTAGAATGTGAGCGAATGCTCCTCTGCGAGGCATGGCTAGTTTAGGCATTGTCCTGTCTGTATTTTTTGTTCCGGTTTAGCCTACGCAGGTTTGGCCAGCAGCAGCGTGTGTTTTGTTGCTTAGAGTCTTGACTGGCAAATGCACCCTGGCTTCACAGCCTCCCCGCTGGGCCAGGTACATGTGGCAGCGCATTGCTACAAGATGGAAAACTGCATTGACACTTCCGCGTACCTGTATTGCCACTTCCGCAGCAGCCAGGTGTACAGTCGTGGTAGTAGTTTTGAACCAGGTGAAGATGGTATATATAGTGTGGTTAAAATTAAGTGAATAGACATTGTCGGCGCACCGTGCAAGAAGAACTGCCAAATGACTGCCGAAGCAATAGCCATGCATACCGCAGCACTCCCTGATGGCAATGGCACTGAAGATGCCAGCAGCCAAAAAATTGCAGGCCTTGTAGCCGTTTGCCTTTAGCACCTCGAGCTGCCGAATGAAAACTCTGTGAACCCACCGATTCCGCGATGCCTTGTTTCCCATCTATTGGCGCCCGTCAACGTGATTGCTGTAGGACTTGTAGACGGGTGGACGACCTGACTAGCAGGCGGAAGGTGGCACTTGGCTTCTCCCGTTTCATGTAACGGCATGACATGTAATGGCGCTGTATGTGCATCCAGGTAAATGTCTACTATTGAGTCGTTTGGACGATAGCAAAAAGCTGTTGTGGATACGATGAGTGCACTCCAAACCCGAAGCCAATGTGGATCCAAGCGAAGGTCATATTCCGCCCATCATCACGGGCGACACTCGAGGTGACCAAGCAGCAGTCGCTGTCACCTCGGTTTAAACTGTAAATCGTTTCTGTCAGATGCGCGACAGCACCATTAGATAATTGTGTGCCATCTTGTAAAGCGGTGCAAGCTGTCCTCCATCAATGAGACCTAAATGGTACAAGCGGCATCTACCTCACGCAGTGCAATTCACAGACCGCGGTGGGCAAGTTTTGATGTTGATAGTATCCAGACAATTTCCTTTTCAAGCGATAGATCGTGAATATTCATGCTTAAGTGCAGATCCCTGACCTCTAAGCTCAGAACGGCTCAGTTTGACGGTCAGTGTTGCCGATGGGTTTAGGGTTGGGGAGTGTTGGGGACAGTGAGTCTGAATTTCCAGCGCAAGCCTACAAACTCCAAAATCTTAGAAATTCTCGATATTGAAAAAAACCACCAAACCCGCACCCCTAAACCCTGAGCCATTGCCATAGACCTCTGAAGCACATGTCCACTTTGACAAGAGACGTCTGAAGCACAAACATGCTAAACCCTTTCGCAGGCATCCAGCTGGCGCCATACAATGTGCTGCACTCCCACATGGCTTCTGTTCTCCACGGTTCGCAGATGACCCTGGAGAAGGATATGCCCTGCTTTTTTTTTTTTTTTTTGGGG